GCCTCATTCATTTGTCGAAACATCTCAAATGATTTTTGTCCTTTTTGGAGGCTGGTTTTCATCAAAGGAGCCCTGATGGCATAGTACGTTACATGTTGGCCTGCTATCTACAAGATCAGTATTTGAACTCACCAGCCATTCTGTAGTAGAAAGAAGGGAGTTTCTGCTCAAGTAAAGAGTGACAGGCTTGTAAACCCTAGAGCGTCACCATGGGTTAGGACTGACTCAGTGGCAATGGGTTTGGATTTGTTCTCACCTATGCCTTCAGTGCAGCTTGGATTTCTTCCTTTTACACTTTAAGTTCTTTATCATATGCTACCTATTTAAATGGTTGAATAACAACAATTCTTTTTGGTACAGTCACTGTGTATGCCCTCCACTGTGGATGCCCTTTAATGCTTTCTGTGTCATTCAATAGAGATCCCTGGTGGTACAGTAGGTTACTCACAGGGTTACTAACTGCAAGGTCAGCAGTTTAAATCCACCAGCTGCTTCACAGAAGATGAGGTTATCCACTTTTATGAAGATTTACAGTCTTGAAAACCCAAAGGGAATTTCTATACTACATGATAGTCACTTTGAGTCAGAATCAACTCAATGCTCAAGGCAGTTTTCCTGTAATTGTATCAATGTGAGATATGTTCAAATGTGTTTTTCCATTTTGGTTTTGTAACTCCATGTTTCATTATACTTTGCTTTTGTGAGCTTCCTTTCGAAAGATTTAATCAGTTCAGCTATTTTACCTTAACATTCATTCATTCCATTCATTTTAGTTATTCTATGTTCAAGAGCAAATGTGAGTCTCCTGTGACATACTTTTCTTTTAATGGCCTTCAGCTTTCTTTATGTATCATGACCTTGATATCGTGCAATATAATTTCCTAGTAATTGATATTCAATGTGTTGAATCTATTCTGAGACAGTTTCTAAATTCACATGAGATATCTGTAAGGTTGTACTTTAGTCCTCAAGGACTGTTTCAATTTTCTTCAGCTTCAACTTCAAATTGCTTATGTAAGAGCAATTGATAGTCTGTTTCACAATTGGCCTCTGGCCTTGTTCTGACTGATGATATTGAGCTTCTCCAACATCTCTTTGCTATAGATATGTTGATTCCTGTTATTCCAACTGGCATTGTATTGTCTATATACATAGTCATTGTTTAGATCAGGAGTCCTAAAACTGTGGCCCGCCAAGGAAGGAAATTTATCTGGCCTGCCGGGTGTTTTTGCCCCATATGTCTTTTTCCTTCAAAATAAGATATGTGCAGCATGCTTAGGAACTTGTTCATAGTTTTTTTTAATAAACTATAGTCCAGCCCTCCAACGGGTCTGAGGGACAGTGAACTGGTCCCCTGTTTAAAAAGTGTGAGGACCCTGGTCTAGAGGGTTGAAAAAGGCACTTTCCATAAATAAGCTGCTGGCCTTACAAAGTTCGATCATGTAAGACTGTACATAATTTCTGTCACTCCATATTTCCCAACTGTTTCTAAATTTCACATTCTAATCACCAGAAATTATCAATGCATCTTGTTTACTTGTTTGACCAATTTCAGACTGTAGAAATTGCTAAATACCTTCAATTTCTTCATCATTCAGAAGTCAGGATAGACATCCCTTATCAATTTGTCATTCTTTGCATAGTAGACCACACAACTATTCAATTTAAAGTAGTCAAACCCCATCTAATTCATCTCAGTAATGGCCAGGACATCAATCGTCAAGTATTCATTTTATTCTTGACAACTTTCAATTTTACTAGATTTACACTTTGTACATCCCATGTCCCATCTGTAAATGAATATGTGCAGCTATTTCTTCTCATTTTGTATCATCCCACAGCTGCAAATGAAAGTACCAAAAATTTGATTTCATCCACATCATTAAGGTTGACTCTACTTTAAGGAGGCAATTCTTCCTCAGTTAGAACCTTGAATGTCTTTCATCAAACAATGGCGTCATTGTTTAGGGGTATATCAGAAAATGTTTGTGAGTTTGTCATGTCATACTGTGATGCTTTGTTGCTTACTGCTGCGATACTGGATGCCTACCACCAGTATTTCAAATACCATCAGGGTCACCCATGATAGACAGGTTTCAGCAGAGCTTCTAGATTAAGACAAACTTGTAAGGAATATGTAACCATCTTCTAGAGAAACAAAACAAAACTGGCCACTGAACAGCTTATGAATTACAACAAAGACAACTGATTACTAAAAATTAGCAATACTGATAATATTATGATGATGGGCACATATTTCTGGTAGGAATATAAACTGAAGAGCAATTGGCAATAATTATCAAATGCCTTAATTTGTGCATACCCTGAGTCCAAACAATTCTACTTCTCATTGTAATCAACCGGATGGCAGTGTTTCTTTTAAAAATGCAAATAATGTACATAAAAGAAGACTGTTGGAAATATTATTGACATAAACCTTCAAAATAAACAGAATTTTCATGAGGAATTGATCAAAAATAGGATGGCCTTTAACAAAATGATGTAGGTTTATACTTACTGAGAAAGAAATATGCCAAAGAAATGTTAAACAAGAGATTTAAAAAACAGTATCATTATATTTGCATTATTAAATTTTACACACACAAATAAATCTTACACACAAGCAATATTGATATGTACACAGCAAAGTCTGGATGGATAGACTATATTAATAATCATAGTTATCTCTAAATATTATAGTGGTTATTTTTGAAAGTCCTTACAATGTTTTACTCTAATACTCCTAAAGTACTTCCATTAAAAAAATTTATTTTGAGCTTGATGGCCGCTTGTTTACCTTCAAGCCTTTAAGACCCCAGACGCTATACTTTTTGATAGCCGGGTACCATCAGCTTTCTTCGCCACATTTGCTTATGCAACATTTGTCTTCAGTGATGCCTTCGACATCTCTTCCCTCCTTCAAAATCATTTTATTAGGGGCTCATACAACTCTTATCACAATCCATACATACAT